GTTAGTCTACCCATGGTTCCATGTTTGGGAGGTTAGGGTTCCAGTAGTACTCTGCATTCTTGCATGTGACCAATATGAACGTTGATGCTATCCAAGAATTTTTACGATTATTTGTTTTTAATGTTGAAATGTCAAGATGTAACTATTTATGCTATCATCTTCTGTCACTCTTCTCGTATGTGGAACTCACTTCCGACTTCTTGCTTCCCAGCCAAATCTGAGCTTCAAAAATTTAAATAGAATGTCAATTGTTATCTATTTTCTTAATTCGTGTTCGTTTAATGTTCTCTCTTTTCAGTATTATTTTTCTTATATTCTATAACACTCAAAACCTACTTATGCCTTGTTATTTTTATTGTCTTTATTGGGGTAAAATGTTTAAAAAATGTCAAGTCAACCATTTAGTCTCTTAATACTATTGATTTGATTAACTTGCATCTATTTCATCGAGTAGCAGACCAACCTTTGTAATCATAAAGCAAAATTTTCATTCAAGGCCGCAAATCTAGTCTCTATGGTAAATAACCACTTCATCTGTGTATGCCGCATTGAATGATTCTACGAAGATTAAATATTCAAATATATAATTCTGTTACAAATAATCTGTCGTTTGTTTTCTGTATTTTAATTGTTCTCAATTATCTGACACATTTTTTGCAATGGCTTTCCTTTGGCATGAAACAATCAACATTTTACAAATATGCAGTAAACTGCAGTCAATATGACATTTTATATGAATACATTCGATATCTTTCTATACCTCAGACATGAGGTATTATGATTATTTACATTATTTACAATATTTGGACAGTTATCCTCATCTTCATTGCCATATTAACGAGGTTTCGGCCTTTTTACGTTCCGGCCTTGGTCAGGTGAGTGTAATTTCGATCCGAACCCTTTATTTAGATTGTTCTAATCCCACGTTTCATGCTTCTTCCATATGTCTCAGTTATTTCCCTTTAAATCAACTCTATAAATTTTAGTTTCACTATTTTTACCGTTATTTTGCTCATCTAGCATTTTTTTTATTGTTGCATTTTTTTTATTATTGCATTTTTTTATATTATTGCATTTCTTTTTTTACCCAAGCTTATATTTCAATTTTTCTGTTGTTATTTATTGTTGTTCTTTATTGTTATTACTGCTTACCATATTGTATTCATTTCTATGCTTGGTCGGCTTAGGAGATTTCTGTGGCCTAGCATATGTGCCGATTCCTTAAGTTTTGTATGTTCGAATGATACTCTCTGTTATTTCAACCTCATCCCACAGGGGGGCGGTGATCTTGTTGCCGCTTTACGATATTCTTGCAGGAGGCGATCAGTTTCTCCTTCATATTTCTCATCAAAGCTGCATGGGATGACCTACACACAGTCCTTTGTCATGTTTTCCTCTCTGGGGCGGGGAGTCTTACTCGGAAGAGATGTCTACGAAGTGTTAACGTACTTTTGAAGATTGTCCCGATGTTATGGATCTTTTTCTTTTCTATTTTCCCCGATATTCCCTTTACATAGTGGAGGCAGACTGAAGCTGTTTTCTTAATGCTGTCATTCTTTTGTAACCTTCTATCCAAATTGGTCGGAGCTGCTGTCATGTACCCTGGGTAGTTGTTACGTTGTAAGGTACTGCTTATACTGACCGCGTCTTGTTCTGTGGTTCTCCACTTATGAATTTTGCTCGATGTTGTGAGCAGGTGATGATCCCTTTCTTTACACTGTCTGGTCATGGGAGTTGAACGTATGGTATTGTGCGGTGAATATAGTCTTGCAGTATACGGTTGTCTTGAACCAATGCTCTGTTCGAGATATTAGTACATTCAAGAAGGCGAGTTTGATGTTGTTTTCTCTCCATATTGTAAACTGTATCGATGATCTTATTGAGTTCCCATAGTCCAGCGTGGTCAGAGTATGAAGGAGTCATCTACGTATTTCAGCCATAGCGTTGGTTTTAGTGATTCAGTTTCTAATGTCATTTCCTCAAAGTATTCCATATATAGGTGTGCCGTTGCTGGTGATAATGGCGAGCCCATTGATACGCCCTCATCCCGTCAATAATTGATCCTATTCAAAAGTGTTTTGTTTTGTACAGAAAGTCAGCGTCTCCATCAGGTTATCTATTGGTATGCTGGACGGTTCTCCTAGGGATGAGTCCGCGCCATCCTTCGTGGGTATGATTGGAAGGAGGCATCTTTAAAAATGTCCACAAAGTGTGCGGAGTTTCGGACATACAATGGTGACTTTCCTATTAATAGGGCGATTACAGATATGACGAAGCGACTCAGAGGGTGGCACACAGATCCTTAGCAGCTAACAATCGGTCTTAGCGGAATACCGACTTTTTGAAATATCGGGAAACCTTATACGTGAGGTAACTTTTAACTCTGTGATAACTGCATCTATGTCTTAGGTGCTAAGTGGTTTATGATCTGTGACATTGTGTCTTCCGTTTTCATTGTAGGATCTTTCTTTATTTTGCTGTAGCTACCATTCGCAATGAAATCTTCCTATTTTTCTGTATATGCCGTTTTGTACATCACTACAATTGCCTTTGTTAGATGGTAATATGATGATGTTTTCATTCCGCTGTAGGGTTCTGATGAAAAGCCTCTCCATTTTCATGATTTTTGATTTGATCGGCTTAGCTTTCTCCAATATCTATTTCACTTTCCATCTGAGACTGAGGCAAGTTCACGTCTATTTCCTCGATTCGAACAGTGCTATCCGCCTGATGGTTTTGGCGAATTTGTGACTCTTGTTTAGTAATGACTCCTCAGAGGCACTCAGCTGTTGTTGACTGATGTTGATTATTGTCGTCACTGGTGAGTGATGGATCTTGTGTGTCACCTTCTGATCTGTCAGTCTACTTAATTTATGTGCTTGGCGAGCCTTGACTGCATCTACTTCAAGTCTGAAGGATTTATTCAGGTGGTGATGGATCCTCCTTCGATCTTCTTCATCGGTAATTCTATCGAAGCCTCTGGGATATATCAGATTGTAGTTTCTGTTTTATTCAACGGTTGTAGTCGATTCTCTCTCCAACAAGGGTGCGTCCCGCTTTCTCTGCGACCAGAGAAGCTCTCCTTGAATTGATCGAAAGTTTTGGTATCAAGCCTGAAGAGATGAATCGTAAGTCGCAAGTCTCGGTGTAGGAATGCCAGATGGGATGAAATTCTCGTGTGAATTTTCTTGATATATCGGGTCCGAACCGATCCTTCAAAAATCTGTAAATATCTGTCAATATCTCTGAGATGAGGTATAATGATTATTTACATTATTTACATTATTCGTTAATCCTATCCTCATCTTCATTGTACCCTCCAGCCTTCTGGTAATTGGAATTTCGAACCGAACCCTTTATTTCATCGATCGTGGTAGATTGTTCTAGTTCCACGTGTCATGCCTCTTCCGGATGCCTCAGTTATTTCTCTAAGATGTTTGTCGTAAATTCTATTCTAATAGTATCCTCTCTCATGTGTCTCATAGCGGAACCGTATTTCTTGATTTCTTAGCACCTAAGATTTTCAAGTATTTAATTTCAACTCCAATCACCATCTTCTGTATTCTTAAAACCGCTCTTTTATAGTCCTTTCCCCTCAGAAAAGTCGTCTTTTTCTCTTCCGTTATAAGGAAAAACTTGCATATTAATGGCATTATCGCCTTTCTTTGGATGAAATGATTAGAAACAATTCAACTTACAGTACTTTCGTTCTTTTTTCATGATCTCCTAAATGCTTAAATCGTTCACACACACATATATATATATATATATATATATATATATATATATATATATATATTATGATTATTATTAATATGGTCATCTATAGATCATCAGTGTGGCTAGATATCCGATTGCTTCATGCCGGGATCGAAACCCTACCGATCAGTTATCGGTCGGAGAGCCTACAAGTAAGCTATATATATATATATATATATATATATATATATATATATATATATATATATATATATATATATATATATATATATATATATATATATATATATATATATATATATATATATATATATATATATAAAAAGCATGCGATATGTGTGACATGTTCATGATATAAAAGTTTGAGCAAACCTACACCATCAAGATCAAGAGCAGAAAGTTTCTCACCGCTGCTATTAAACAAAGCATGTTTAAGTTTGTGGCTCGGCTTTAGGAAGGTTTAAATTTTTGTAACGGCTAATTACTGAAATTACATCATATCAAAGTCTGAATTTAATAGATACCTTCATTACTTATATTATTTATATAGGGACCTCTGTATTTTAATTAACAAAACTGTTCGGTGGTTATTGTGTAATCTACACTTATTCAGGAGTCGGTTGATCTTGGTTAACTTCAAGGAATTTGATCTGAACCCTTTCCCGGGGACGTATTGATCCCACAATTAATTTATCGCACAACTAATGCTCGCCTTTTTTTTTCCACTGAGTTGGTGTTTGTATTAAATCAACCAAGAATTGAACTCACAATTCACCAAACAGCCCCTTAATTTACTAGACTACTGTCTACTGGGGCAATCCTAAGTCTCGGACTTTCTGTAATATAACAAACTTTTACCGCCCTTTGCTCAAAATCTGAAGTACAATACGGATATTAATACAAATATCAGACATGCTTATTTTGTTATTCTAATCCATGTTAAATTGCCTGGATAATATTTCAGGGTATTTGAAAGAAGAAAATGTTTTAATTTCAGGATTCTTGGAAAGAACATTTTTCTTTACGGTGGCGGTATTTTCCACGTAATGTCGATTCTTTTTTTCTGATACTCGAGTTGATAAACATAGTTTTTGTTCACACTTTAGTCACGAGGTAATGTTTGGGCATGTTTATGCATGAGTCTATACGTAGAAATTCGTCGTATTTTTTACATGTATCTATAGATAATGTTTGATTATTCAAACTTAGATCTGCAATCATCAACCCAGTAGACGGCCCCTTAGATAAAGAAACTTATCCCTGTATAATAAACTAGCTCATGGCCACATCAAATTTAAACACCAGATCTTGTACGATCACCGAAGTTAAGCAACGTCGCGCCTGGTCAGTATATAGATGGGTAATAGCTTGGGAATAACAATTGCTGTAAACTTGGAAGTGTGGTTAGTGGTTAGGAATTGTTAATCAGATGGGCCGGGTTCTAATTCCAGTTGGGTTCGTTATATTCACTTACAAGTAAATACCCTTGGAAAAAGTAAGAATACCCCCATTCCCTCCAGCTATGGGTTAATTATTAAGACCTGTATAATTAAAATCATTATAATCTCCTACACCCCCAAAATTATTAAAATCTAGAAATATTTTCTGCCTTTAAATAACATGTAAATAATCAAATCAACAATAAACAATGCATTGCTTGGATGTCTATTTTTTTCTTTCTCTCGTCTTGACTGAGCGTCATTTAGTTTACGGACAAAACCGCAATTGTACGGCACACAGTGAGAATCGAACTCCAATGAACTGACAATATTTAAATGTAATAGTGTCTCTTTATGAATCTCTTTTACAACGTAGAGACATTTTATGTTTTTTATGATTATTTGATTTAAAATTCGCCGAGGATTAAACGAAAACAAGTCGGGGAGATACTTACAATCAGTAAGATACGAGAATTAAAACGAAGATGTAAAAGGGAAGCCAAGATAAAGTGTGGGAAATATGGTAAGAAAACAGGTAGATCTAAGCGCGGCAGGTTATAGGAATTTGTAGGAAGATATGACCACCAACGTCACAAAGAAGAAGAAGGAGGTGCAGTTGAGGAAGAACAAGAAGAAGAAGAAGGAGGAGGAGGAGGTGAAGAAGAAGAAGAAGGGGGAGCAAAAGAAGAAGAGGAGGAGGGGAAGAAGAAGAAGGAGGGGGAGGAGGTGAAGAAGAAGGAGGAGCAGAAGAAGAAGAAAAAGAAAGAGGAGGTGAAGAAGAAGTAGATGGAGGAGAAGGAAGAGGAAATGAAGAAGAGGAGGACCGCGTTTTCTGCAATGGATATTTGTAAGACAGGTGCGATGGGCTAAACTCTTTATCAGGAAATAATCCTATTCTGAGATCAAACTTCTGGGATACGACATCGAAAGCAAGAAATACAAATCTTTCTTGCTTATTTCAAGGATATTTGAAAGTAGAAATATATGCCTCCTACACATTTCCTTGAATGTCATTTTTCCCGATGTAATTGCTTAAAGAATTCATACATTTTGCTCTGACAGCTGTAGGCGTAACATAAAACTTCAGATCTGAGGAAAATAATTTTCTCAAAAATTTATTTCAATAAAGATTCTACTAGTGAGATACATTGCGCAGCAGGAATAAAAATGGCCGCCATCATTTACAAAATATGAAATTAAAAAGCATTTCCTTTTATCAGGCAATACTAATTATAATAAAAAAGAAAAGATATTTATATCAGAAACTAAACGCTGATCAAATCAGCCAGTTATACTATTCAAAGAATCTATATACTCCAATAAATGAAACATTTGCATCTATGTCTAGCAAAACATTTTACCTTGTCTGTCTGTACATTCACCTGAGTTGAAGGGATTTTGCATTTTTTTTTTTTTTTTTCAATGACCAGTAGCTCGTGTTATTTTCTGGGTTGCTAAGGTTTGGTAAACTAAATTTACTTGCATCTGTTCCGGCGAACGGAAGAAAGAGAAACGGTAAAAAAAAACAACAAAAAACACTTCAGTTCATACATGAATTCAGAATATTTTTGCTACAACTGATTGGCTGTTTGTACTCTGTAAAGAGATACTTGATAAATTCCGAAAATAATCGCTAACCGCAAAATGATGAGACCTAGCTGCCAAGTTCGTCCCGCGTTTAAATTCATGAATTTGAGTTCCCAAACACTAAATACCATCAGAACAATTTCCACGATAATATTTATTGAAATAGCAAAGGGAAACTGCGTTACGGCAGTTGGAAAATGATTGAAAGCTAGATGCCATCTTCGAACTGATAACATTGTATATTCTTTAGATAGATAACAGAGTCATCAGACGCGATGAGGCAATAATATTCCCGTCCGGTGTAAGACGATAAACAACATCCGCCACCTGGATAAGACGATAAAATACATCTGACAAAAAGGCCTTTGTTCAGGAGGTTTTCAGCAGCATGAAACCACCGCTTATTTGCCTGTGTTCCCAGGTCCACCCTGACCCAGGTTGGTAACACTTTTCGAGATCCCAGCTAGGGGCAAATATTTAAAAAAAAAAACACTATGGAATTAGAAAATATAGATTTTAATACGAGCAATACTTTTTGGGAAAAATTATCACAAGCGGTACATTTTTGAAAAAGAAAAATATTACCAGCAAAACATTTTTGAAAAAAAATATTGCCAGCAATTCGTTTTTCGAAAAAAATATTATCAGCAATAAAAATATTGTCGACATTAAATAACCCATTGATTTGTTGCTATGCCGTAAAACACCAAATTAAACCGTAATAATATTCCATGGACGAATGTATGGTAGACTTATACACATTTCTTAGCGGATTATTTGTTATACTCAACATGCTTTTTTTAGTAATAACATCTAGCATATCCAGGATACTGATGCATATCTTGACTGAAATTGATCTTGAAAGAAACAAACAACGAACATGAGTTGAATATTGCCCCCTTTAGAGGAAATAATTTATTATTTAACCATCCTTCTTTCGTCTGAAATAAGACATAAACGCCTGGAGCAGTCAGTTGGGATCAGAGTCAAATGTGACTACTTAAGTATCTAATTTGTTATTCCTACAGAAGACAATCGAAATCGATATTTAATAATATGATACAAAATCCACGATTTTCAGTCATTGTGTGAAGGGTCTGCGAATTAAATACAAATAAATTTCCTAGATTAGAAATACAATCAACTTATCATTACAGCAACAATGTAATATTTTATGTTAGTTAAATTTGGTCACTATTTCCATCGATATATTCTCTTTGAAGAATTGCGCGATCAACACTGATTTAAACCTTCTCTGGTGCTTATTGTTGTCATCCATTGAACAGTAGTCAGCTAGCATTTCCTCATTCTAAAACCATCGATATCGTTGCTACATTGCCGTTATGTCTTGAGGAAAACGTTCCCCCGTGCCCATCAGACGTTCCTCCCGGTGTCTCTGCAAAAACGTCCAGAGGTAAACCAAGGAAATTAATTTTAAATGACATTGCTGAAAAAAAAAAGCTCTACAAGACATTTTGCCCCGTTTCTAAAATATTGAGGTCTCTTGTTACCCAGAAGATTTTCAGTGATCACCTTAAAGGGTTCTAACGTTTTAAGTTCAATCACATCCATGTTTTTTCACATGAAATTTTACTTGAGGCATTCGTTTATCTGCAGACCTAATAATACGCATCCCTTCAGTTTTATCTCCGTGATGTTTTGAAACTTGGCCTTGACATATTCAAAGCCTTCTGACTTTTTCCTGGCAAGTATCGTCACATATTCTTTAATGAGAATTATGTGAAGAAAAAATGCCTGGCTTATGCTGAACGAATATAATGAGTAGAGCCAATTGATCACTTGTATACATCAAAGACTATTTTTCTTTACAGACAGGACAAGAGAAAATTTATTACCGCAGATGATATCGGAAAGGTCCTACATTAGAACTACAATCAACACATCATTACAGAGACAATGTAATATTTCATAGGTTAGTTAAATTGGGTCACTATTCCCTTCTTGAGGAATTGCGCGATCAACACTGATTTAAACCTTCTCTGGGTCTTATTGTTGTCATCCATTGAACAGTAGTCAGCTAGCATTTAATTCCACAATCATTTAATTCCACATATCGTTGCTCTATTGCAGTTATGTCTTGAGGAAAACGTTCCCCCGGGTCATCAGACGCTGCTCCCAGGGTCTCTGCAAAAAGTCCAGAGTTGAACCAAGGAAATTAATTTTAAATAGCATTGCTGCAAAAAAAAAAGCTCTACAAGACATTTTACCAGGTTTCTAAAATATCCCTAAAAGCATAAATAGCAACGATATTTCGTGAATCTTTACTGCATTCCCAGCAATATCCCAATAAAATTTAAGTCTTCTCACATATTTCATTTGTATTCCGAGTACATTAAGATATCGAGGATTATCTGCATGTTTCCTTAAATACTTCTTCATATTCACTGATCATCCTATGAGAATGGATGTTTTCTTGTTATCGTTGATTAGTAGCACTGCTTTGAGTACTCTTTTTATAAACCATATAAAATCTCATAAATCTCATTACAGAAACAAAGTGGTCCGTCCGCATAGAATAAAGAGATCGGATCTTGATTTCTTTTACTGAAATGAGGGCTGCAAACATTGTCTTTAAGCAGTTCAGCTTTATCCTATGACAATGCCAAATCTCTCAAATGGAATATTGGTAATATTTCTGTCGTTCGTCTTCATCTTCAAGAATTAAATCTTCATCCAATTCGGTTGTTTTCCGCATAACTAATAGTACCTGTTCGTCACACATTTGAAGTCCATTTTTCTGTACTACTGAAAGAGGAAGGTCATCAAGTTGGATGGTACTGGCCTTCTTGCCCATAAGTTGGGGTACACAATCTTATGCTTGGCCTTAACTGTAAAGCAACACACATTAACCATGCAGAAATATGTCTTTGAAGAAGAGTTTTTTAATAATACTTTGATTCTTTCGATATCATAGATACTGCAGGCAACATTAATCTCTTCTTTTTACTAAGTCAATCTTATAGTTTATTGGAAGAAGCCGAGCAGGTCATATGTGGCGCCTAATTCTTATCTTGATTCCTGAGAAAATACCTAAAATTTAACTGGTAGATCTTGATTTCAATTGCCATGGTATTTTGCTGAACTTTGGTGATAAATGTACCACAGGTATAACAAAATATATCAGGACTGTTCTTACTGTGCCTTGACATCTTGAATAGAGTTTGTCGATGATGGTAATTGGACACTGGACTGGAAGGGTGACGACTATCGGATAACTGAAAAGAAATGGTAAAATTTATGAAGATACTAAATATGGCTATTGTAACATTTTGCGAAAAATTTTAAACTATACCATATTTATTTTAAATAATTGAGAAAATTAAATAATACACACAATTAGTA